TCCCACTAATCCTTTAAGTCCAAGAAGAGACATGGTGAACAGCAGCAAGATGAGGCCCATAAATCAAGCAGGATGTCGGGACAGCAGGATAACATAGCCTGACATAGTCACAAGTATGTTCCAGATTAACCTCTGCCACTGCTTCAGTCAATACCTCTGCTGGGATGGAATCACTTGGAGATGTCTGGCTCTGGATCCTGGAAGTGATGCTTTGGCTCTAAACACAGACACTGGTCTCTAAGGAGGAGCTATGGAGCAGGATGGAGCCCACCATGTCACACTGGTCTTTGGTCTGTTTTCGCATAATTTATACTCCCAGCACAGAGTTGTGAAACGTTCACATAATGATTCTTAAACACGTTGTTACTGACCGACTGCTGTTCCACAGAAGTGAAACCCGTCTGTCATTGCATGTATTGAATGGACACATTCAAAGCAGCATGTTAAGAAGATTTATTTGCTCCAAATGAACACTCATCAAGCCTAAATCGTGCGGTTTGTCCAATTCGATTTGGTGAAAGATCTGGACCGCATATTGGGACAATACACAAATTACTTAGAAAAGCCACATCCTTATGTTCTGAGACTGCTGTAAATGACAAACTCTAGACATTAAAAAATGAGCCATGGAGAAGATGAAAAAACAACCTTCCTTTGCTGTTCCAGGAAGCAAACTTTTCTGGTGGTCTCTCACATTAAACTGCCACTAACCCAAATGCAAACACACAGATACAAACAAGATTTGATTAGGATTGGCTCGAGGGTGGATGCTTTCCGCATTTGTTTCCTCATGTGACTTCAGTTCATTTATTTACATGGAAGGATATATTCTCACACATGAATGTGTTGAGTGAGTCCATCAGCACAGCTTAAATGACCCCTGTCAGACCCCTGTGGGCTCAGGATGCATACTGTACATGCCATAGACACATATGCACATGTACACATGTACATTATAACTAACTTTAAGTGTGCATTAACTGATTTATTTTGGCTACTTGATAGCAGCAGAAACAATGACATATTTTCACCCTGAACTTAGCGAACGGTTGCTTATTTACCATGTTGCAGACACAAAGCAACATCAGCATTCATGCATACAGTACATGATACATAGCAGTCATACTTTTCACCACCTGATGAATGTTAGTCTAATATTCACTTCTTTTTAGCTTTGTTTTGATTTCGTCTAACTCCAGAGGGAACCATTCACCTTTTTAGCTGCTAAATGCTAAATGTGTCCACCAGCTAGCTTAATTTTGTCTGTCTGCTAGAGAGGTAGCTGACATTGATTGGTGAGAATGAACCAAACTAGTAAAGCTGCAAAACATTAAAAACCAAAAGAGTGACTTGAAAGAAAAAGTAGAGCTGATGGGAATTACAAAATTTTGGTAATAATTTTATTATTCGTGAGCTAGAGCTTTCACATTACACCAACTCAATTTTTCATTGTTACATATATTGTTATAAAAAATATTGACTAGTGCAGCTTTAACGTGACTTGACAGGCAATTTCCTTTTGAACATCTTGACATTGAAAAATATTTTGCCCATCAACTCAACTTGTTAAATGGGAAAGAAATCAACAAAGTTGGGCGCATGTTTTGGTGCCACAATGAGACGGGAGATGCTAATAACCCTAACTGTTTATACTGCAAGCAAACCAAGTGCTCATTTATTACCTGGGCAGATTTAGTAATTCTGCAGCATTAAACCAGCGGGTGAATCAGTCCCTGTAGTAAACTCTCCATCATTGTGGGGAGGCCTGCACCATTTGTGTGAAGAAAATACCACAACTTCATCAAGTGTGAATTTTAAAGGCTAAACAGCAGCCAAGTCAATAGCAAGCAAACTAGGCGCAGTATGAGTGAATCCAGACGGCTTTAGCTTCTTAACCATAAGCTTTCATGTCTCTTAAGTGTGGGACCAAACTGGTAGTTATGAGGTCTGTTTAAAGCCTGCTTGAATGAGGAAATACTTCAGAGTGAGATGCAGCACTAAGGATGATATAATGACGAGCATACTGGAGTCTTACGCACAAATTGCTATTGAGATTTTAGAGGTTAATCACGTGTTATAAATTTTAGTTGCTGACAACTATTTTTATTTATTCAGCTCCAGTTAAGGCTGTGTGGCAACTGTGAAATACAACTTTTCTTGCTGCCACTGAAGGGTACTTCAAATGGTGCAAATGGTCTTATTCCAACAGCGAATAATAACAAACATTATAAATTCCCATCCGTTTTTTATTATTGGGCTATTTGTCCTATCCACGAGATTCTTTTTGTACTTTTGCATTCAAAACATGCAACAAAACCCCAGCTAGTGTCAGCTACATGTTAGAGTGATTGGGATAAATCCAGAGATGTTTGATGGACCGATCCGGATGTGTGAGGGTTCTTCAGCTTTCCTAACTGTATCAGGCCCTCGGCTTCACAACGGTAAATGATGAGGAGCCGCTGAGGTCACAGAGGGACAAAGAGAACCCCATTACATGACATGAAGGGGAATGATCCTTCCTGCTGTTGTGCATGACGTGAGAAAGCGAGACAGGCAACTGCAGGGAGGAGAATCTTGAAATCCAGAGGTTTTCAATCTGAATGTTCCAACAGGTCACGCCCTCGGTCACCTCCCCCTGCCTTCCTCTTTTCCCCATTCACCACCCCTCCGTTCTCACCACATCATCTCCCCAACTGATGAAAGATCTTGATGAGCAGCAAAGACAGAGCTTGAACCGACTTTCAGGACTCAGGCGGGATAGTTCATCTCAGTCAAGTGCCGTGTATGCATCTGCAGCCATCTGGCCTCCCCTCTCAAAATACAACAAGGCGGTGTGTTGTTTGGAGAGTTTTCCAAGTCACAGCCAGTAACCTGAAAGCACCTTGGATCTACCCCCGTTCTCTCCCTGTTTTCCTGTAGGAAGAGGCCTCATTTCGTGCTCCCTAAAAAAGGTAACACAGTCGCTCTGACACGCTGCAACCGCCCATCATAAATCTGCACTTTTAACTATTGGCCCTCAAATCTATCAGCCTGACTGTTGAGTCTGGGGGCCACATCGTGACATGCAAGGAGGTGGGAGGAAAGGGGGGGGGGGGTTGCTCACAGGTGCCCCTGCGCTGAGACTTATGGCCGGTGCTCCCCCACTCTGCAGTCACGCAAGCACTGCCCCGCGCCTGGACCTCAGCCTGATTTTACTGCAGTCGGCAGGGAAACCAGACGCTACAAAGGCCCCGGGTCCACATCAATTTCACGAGCAAAGTTACTAGGAAATAAATCATTTCGAGGATTTATGAAAAAGGAGACGGGAGAAGGGGGGTGCAAGGAAGTGTGCTGCCCTGACCTAAAAAAGCAGGGGTACTTAAAATAAAGTCCAGTTAGAGTTATTTTACATTGTCAGTAAGAGAGGTCAAATACTGATCTTTATGTTGAATCCATGTTGATAAAAGCCAGTTATATAGATAGTTGCAAGTTATTATTAATTTAATAAAAGATCTCAGTGCATGTGTAGTTATATTTTACTAATCATATTTCTTCCAGACACGCAAGGTTCCCCAAACAAGACCTCAGGCTTTATAGGTCATTTGAGATCGGCAATTTGGCTTTTACAGGGCAGGATTCAGTCCAGACACTATTTAATAAAATACACGCAAAGCTGATGTCCTTTTTCCTGCACCTTAAATACGCAAATCATTAAACCAAACCTATTCACACTCTGTGCTGTGATTAAGAACAGTGTTATTATTGTTATTCCCGTCCTACTGAAGAGTAATGATCCCCCATCAAAAGGAAACTAAACCTTTGAAGAACGATTTATTTGCTCAGGCTGAAGTTAACTTAGTTTTTTTTTTTAAAGTATGCACCGTCACAAGGAGCACGAGGAAGTAAAATCCACCCATAATGTTTCCAGCTCTAGCAGTCTCCGTTTTCCTGCACCTTTACTTCAGTATTACAGTCTTTTGTGTCATTGGGCTGTCTTACAAAATCTGAAGATGCATGCCAATGCGTTTCTCCCAGCTCTACTTTACATATGGTTTAAGACTGAGAGCAATTAGAAGTGTTTTCTCAGTTTCCGTCCACTAAAGGAAACACATCTACACATGTTTTATTCTGGTGGCCACATTTTCACTCTGGAATCTGACGGTTTTATGGGATAGCGTGAAAATTGAACATTCTTCACGCTTCTCATTTAGAAATCATTTAGATTGACACACTTATTAAAATGTTTCCCAGGAGCCTCAACATGAGGGCTTCCTTTCATACATTTCTTAGAGATGTCAAGATTTATGTTTTTAGCAAACCACACTGCAAATCATTATCTCTGTGTGGAAGCTGTTACTGATTTGTGATTTGGTAAATTAATGAATAAAAAGCAGTGATTGTTGATCTTTGGCTCCAATAAATTAATGTGCTGGCCTTTCAAATCTCTAGCTCTTTAGCCATCATTTACCACAGTGCTCCGATTTGTAATCACAGCGTGTATAGTAACCTCAGTTTACAGATGAAACCTCTGCTGTGGCTTGCATAGTGAGCTCTAGCGTACAGACACACACAGGTACATGTATATTATAGAAGACTTCTGTGCTCTGCATGAAAGGCCTTTTTTCGGGGGCAACACAAATCAGACGTGTATGGCAGTAATTACCCTAGTTTTTGGCTGGCACGCTGTGGTCATTTAGAAGATTAATCAGACATAGATAAATAAACAGGCTTGGCCTACACGCCCAGAGTCCTGCATAAGGAAAGACTAGTCTGGTGTCCACTTAAGACACCCTAACTAACAAGTTGTATTACACGGAGACACATATTTCTGCAAGGTACAATTCTTACCACATTTCATCAAAATAAAAACCTTCACAAGCTACTGTGATGACAAATAATTAAATAAAAGACAAGACTAAGCCAAAAATGCTATAATAGTATATCTGTAATGAACTCTTGCATTACTTTAATCATAATATTAAAAACATCAGATTGTAATCTTATCAGATATGCTGAAGAAATACACACTTCACTGGATAAAAACACAAAAAAACACACTATTATACCGCTTGCCCAAGATACACCAAACTTATTAAATGCAATAAATGCTGGTTTTATACAGTCATATTTCAGAGAACAGTTTCAACATAGTGGCATAACCCCAGGCTTCTTATCACTATCTGTAGTCATGAGCTCATTTCTTGTCAGCTAGTTAAGGCTCCCCGCATGGTGGATACTGCTCTCTGTAGGCACAAGGTAATTATCTGCAGGCACGCAAAGTGCGAGCTGGCTAGCTCGGCCCCCAGCACCGCACAGTATGTGAGGGACAAGACTTCCCTTCACCTTATATTCTTCTCTGTTTCGCCATCTTCATTCCTTATGACAACCACATCAGTCATAACGGGCTTATGTTTATCTTCCTAAACAATTAGGCTCTGCATTCCAGCATATGATGACTAAAGCTTTGATTTAAGAGGACTGTGATATATCGTGAGTGAATCACAACCTTCTCTGCAAGTTTCACAGTGGGGGAGACTGGGCTTGAGTCATCAGCACAAATGACTTCCAGGAGACCATTCCATCTCCTCTGTCAGTACTACTAGACTAATTTCAGTATTTTTTCTCAATGAATGTAATCCAATTTCAGCTCAGGCTAGTCATTCAGTCAAACGCAGCTTTTCATGAAGAGGAGAGTCAGGAACAGTGAGAAACAACTTACCAGCGCTTCATTTAAAAGGGACTCTACTTACATACAACTATAAGAAATTAAATGCTGCCCTCTTGTGTCAAATCAGTCTCAGGCACAGAATGATTTCTGTCCCTGTTTTTTAAAAAGCATGTACAATGTAAAATGCCCTATTGAGAAGTAAATGTTGTAAGTGTGTGTGGTGCAGCTGAGCTGGTACTGCTGGCTGATTCTTTTTTGTCCTCTCCAACATTCTTGCTGGAATTGTAATAGTAGATGAAGAGGAAGAAACCTGCAAAAAAAACAAAGTGGCTGGGTTACAAACATTGTATTGATGTTGTTTTTTTTTTTTTTTACTTGACAAGTAAATTAGACAGTTTGAGTGAAGATTGCTGCGTGTCAATTCGTGAGTCTACCCTGAAAGGAGTTGAGGAGGGTGAAGATGTAGTAGGAGGCAATTAGCATAGGTCCATAGCTGAAGAAAGCAAAGGCCCAGGTGATGCCGAGCAGGAGGAACAGGCCCAGAATGGAGAAAGTGTTTGTCCTGATGGAGCTGTTGCTCTGAGCATTGTCTACTGCCTGCTTAAACAGATTAATCTGCCGCACAGTTAAAATGAATATGATAAAGGTGAAGATGAACACTACAGCATAATAACCTATATTTACCCCTTGGTGAACAACGGCATCAGAAATCCAGCACCTGAAAATGATGAATTAAATAATGATCCACTTAGCAATGAATGAGTTTTTTTTAATGTAAATAAAAGATCATTTATCAGACTTGCAGTCAGTAAGAGTTGCTTACATTTTTGCTGGATTCCCATCATCGGTGTAAATGATCAAGTAATCATATTTCCCCGTGGCGAGCAGAGCGATCACCACTACAGCTGGTATGACTGAAGAGAAAGATAACTGTATGTACATACATTGTCTTATGGTTATATAGTGAGTATTTGAACACATGGAATTTTTGGTTAAGTTCCCTTACCCCATCCGGTGATGCAAATCTTCATCATGTAATGCTTGATTTGAATAGGGCGTTTCCATAGATTCAAGTACAAGTGCAGAGCCTCAATGAAAAACCAGCTAAAAGTAGCCAGCATGGCTAAGTGCATAATTGCTGCCATCGCCATACATGCGCTGTAGTTCCCAAGGTTGGCAATGCTCTCATTCACCAGGAAGGACAAGTTCAGGTTGAACATGGCGACAAAGAGGTTCATCAGGATCTTAGTTGCTTGGCTCGCTTTCCCTTTTCTGTGGAGTGTGTTAGGTTGTGTCAGCAAAAGCCGTCAATACATGACATTAAAATTTTAAACTGCCCTGCAGTCCTCCTACCTGATAAGACAATGCATGAAGAGAGCCACCGCCAAGAAAAACATTGACAGGCCACAGCCGATCGATGTGATGTAGGTCAGAGACTTGAAATCTGAAGTGCTTATGTTTCCAGGTGGAGGCGACTGATTTATAATAGAAAGATGAGTTAGAATATGTGTGAAATGTCAGCAGTAGCTATGAATATAGTGGGATTATTTGTAATACCAATCATTTTACCATCAGTATGGCAAAAAATGTTAGATGAGAGCAATGACATGTGATGTTGCCATTGGTCTCCCTTGTTTCACAGCCATCTGTGATCCAGGTCTGTGTTTTTTCTATAAAGGCAGAAAACACTGCGGCACTTAAAAAGGCTTTTTTTTTTTTTTTTTTTTGCATTAATGACTGAGGAAGACGTGACAGTCATACAATGGGCTTTTGATTTGTTAAAGGCAGTGTTAAAGTATTAAAAGAATAGTATTATTTTTACAATACCTTTGCCATTCCACGACCTACAAGAAGCAATCCTTCCATTCTGTATTAGAGTAAAAAAAAGAAAAATTAGTATACTGTTTCTCTCCATGACCACTTTAAGGATCATTATCATATCTGTTAACACACGTCTTTTACCTTGTCCACATTCCTGTAATGAATCTCTATATTACGTGAGAGATTGGATATGTCAGCTCCCATTTCAATTCCCACTACTTCATTGTTGACGAAGACACTGTTGGGGTCATCCTGTCAATAGTGGAATACTGCTTATAGCTTATAGTGGCAGGCACAGGGGAAAACATTTTTCCACTGGGAATGTTACATAATCATTGGCTCTGTTTATATTAAAGTTGTCAAAAAATGTAGATCAACTGTAGTTACATTAAAGCTACCTGATACATTTTTGGAAAAAGCAGAACTCCAGCAAATGAACCATTTCTTTCTAATGCCTGGGAGAATGCTTCTTTTGGGATGTGCACTGATCGAGAGAAGTGCGACAAAAAATCAGTGTCGTTCTCAAGAATCTGCAAAAAAAGAAAAAATCAGTAAAAACTAGGGTGACTTAACTACCATCCATTATTGTGTGTCACTCTTGTATCATGGCAAACTGCGTACAGTTATATCACCACTTGTCTGAATACCAAGATTGATGCCCGTGTCATTTTTGTTGGCGAGTTTAACAAGAATCCCTTTAATAGCACCCAGACTGACAGCAACTGTGCTGGCGGCTCCCATCATATCCACCACGGAGGAGAGATTATTCATTATATTTCTGTGGTGGAAACACAAACACATGTCTTCCAGGAAATCACGTGTCAGCATCACAACTCCTAACAATGACTTGACTCCAGGAGCATTATTGCCGTCAATAATTGACGGATACTTACACTGCGTTCTCTAGGCTGACACTACCATCAGCATTGGTCGGCACGGACGAGAGAGTCAAAGAAATGCTTGGCTTTGTTCCTGGTGGCTTACATGACACACATGACACCTTTTTCCTGTCAGTATGGTCATTAGCTTCAAAAGTGAACTTGTAGTTTGTTTCTGCCAAACCTGCATATCAAACCACACACACATACAGAGAGAGAGAGAGAGAGAGAGAGAGAGAGAGAGAAACATTTAATTTTTACTACCATTTTCTTTTTGCTTTTTATTGAAATTACTCTTAATATATGATTTAAATAATATAATCTAATAAAAAAAATGACGATACCATCGCAAGCTTGTCCACTGTAGGATGAACCATGTCCACAAAGGCCGTCCTTGCTAAGTCTAATATTTCTTACCCCTTAAACATATTAAAACATTACATTGTTAGACATGCAGCTTGTTAAGAGAGTTATCACTGCTGTTAAATTTGTGCTGATATGGAAAGTAAGAGCTGTGATAGATTTGTGATTCTACCTTTTGTAAAGCAGCGGTGAAGGTTTAAAATGAAACCTGCAACAGTTGCAAAGGTGTGTAAGACAACTGGTTAAAAGCATTACAGTTTTGACTCAGTAAAAAAACATTCTGACCAATAGGGGGCAATAACACATTGCTGTGCGCAAATACATTGTGTCCTCTTTCACCTCTTTGTTACCACATTTTATTTTGCCTTATCCATACAATGAATAATAAGGATTAAGTATAGTCAATCTGACTATGTCTGAACCTAGTTGTTTCTTATTTTAAGAGTTGACTTAGCAAGGGGGTTAAGAACAATACCTGTTTGGTTGCTCCGGATTGATGATATATTTTGACATTCCACATCTGTTGTCATCACGACAATATCTTGCTTGGATAAAATCTCTTTATCCGGGATTATGACGGTGCCTCGATCCATTATTTCAATGCTGCAGTTGAAATCGTGTGTGTCACAACAGCCTAAAAAGACAAATCAGAATACACTCACATTTATCAAATGACCAAGAGAAATGATTGTATGGTTATTTCTGATGGGATAAAACCAGACTAATAATTAGGTAATTTTACCTGCATCTTGTGTTTTACTCTGAACATTAAAACAGAGTTTAGTGTCACTGGAGTGGACAACATCTGAAATATGATGTGAAAGCACTGTTTACTCCGAAATTTCTTTAAAATTTTCACTTTGAAGACCATTATGTTTTTACAGTGTTGTCAAGCTTACCTTTTGGAAAATTTACTAACTCTCTGTCACTGACAAACAGTACATTTTTTAGTCTGCAGTTGTCATCTGTGCCTGTAAAAAACAACAAAATGACAAATAGGTCTCTGGAGAACAGTTGCTAAAATGTGTTGAGAAATACTGTGTTTCAAGTTAGCTTTTGTAAAATGTACTCACCCGAGTTCTCACACGTGCTGATCTTGAGGAATAGCCCATAGAACAGAATTACTGCCTTCACAACAGACATTCGGCAACACTTGACATCCACTGGTAACATTGTTACAATGAGAAAATACAACATGCAGTGGTTTTGTTGGAGAAAGTTATCTAAACATAATGTGAAGCTATATCTATTTTTACGTGCCTCCTAACCATAGAGCAACGCACTGACACTGTTCACCATGACTCGCATCCACCTTACAGTTATTGCATGTTACCGACACATGTACTGCTGATGTTTGTCTATTCATTCTTCCTGATTTAACTGGCAAATGAAACATGCCCACATCTCTCAATACATGCTCTGTCTGCCTTCCAACATCAAACAATAAACAACTGGCAGCCTGCCACTTTCAGTTATGGGGAGGAATGAAATGTACCCGTAGTTGTTAACAAAGATGCTCCTGCTGTCAACGTTTATCTTTTTTATTTATCATCATTATTTTTATCATAAACATACCAAAGAGCCTGGTATTCCTTGCAAAGCATTTTTTTATTTAATCGTCAGTATGAAGTTAAGAAACAAAGAATGTGTGGTTCTTTTACAGTATACTGGGATTTTATTTTTTTTCTCAAATGGGTTATTTAGAACACACTTATGTAAATTGTTCCATTGGGCAGGTGTGTTTGTCTTTCTCTTGACTCTTCTTCTGTAAGATGTTTTATCTTTGAGACAGAAGGCAGTTGGACTTGGTGAAGATTTACTGAAGATGTTTCACCTCTCATCTGAAAAGCTTCTGAAATTCTGAGACAAATTGTTTTGACAAAGTCCTGAACTGCAGTATTTTCATGCTGGGAGTGGAGGAGACCGATGATGCCAGGAAAATTAGGAAGTAATTTTGTTCATAGTTTGTTGCGTAGTTCATTTTTTAGCCATCATTGTGGCCTAGCTCTTCGGTTGGCAGTGTCAGTTTGTTGGTCAGTTGGTCAGTCCACCATTTTGGTCCAGACTGAAATATCACTACAACTTTTAGATGGATTGTCATGATATTATGTACAAATACCCATTGTCCCCATAGGATAACTTGATTGATAGCTGATTCCCTGACATTTCAATTTTTCCAAAACTTCAGTTTTTGGGGGTATATGTGTTTAATGTTAATTAAGAAAAGTTATCATGCTAGCATGCTAACTAAGATGGTGGACTTGTTAGAAACATTATACCTGCTTAACATCAGCTTGTTAGCATTGTCATTCTGAGCCTGTTTTCATATTAATGTATTGTGTAATGTGCATTTAGCTCCGGCCTCATAGTGCTGCTTGCATGGCTGCAGACTTTGTGACTATAGCCTCTGTTACACAGAGATCCTGCTATGTTGCCATTAAGAAGACCCCTCATTATGCTGCCTTCGCTTGTCGACACTGAACCAAACAAAATCAGCACATTGCTGCCCCAGTGTCTGATTTTTGATAGCATGCGTTCACATTCTGGAATCAGAGGTGTGACATGTAGCACAACAACAAACCACTAACTGATTCACTCGCAATGCAGGGTGGTATATATTGCTTGGTTGGTGTACTACTCTTCATGATGTGTTACGGGATACTATGAGTCCACTATATAGGTTATAATAATTCTGACTATACATTCGGAGAGAACTTCAAAAGGGGGAACACACTATGTAGTGGACTAAATAGGGAGTAGTGGGTGATCTCGGACACAGCTGTCCCTCCATGTTGGCTCTTCATTTTACACAGACGTTGATCCGGCTCAGAGTCTAACTCCACTATCTGCTTAAAGGTGGAACACCAGTGCCTCCCATTCCATGTTCATGCTTTCTATACAGAATGGTACGGTGAGCTGTGTAAAATGGGCTTATGCCTAAATTAAGCCATCTAAATTTGAAAATGCTGTTTCGGTGTAAAAAACGATTTTGGTCAACATTCTAGGTTTCTTTTTTTTTTTCGTAAAGACCTCTGCCCACAGTTTCTAAATCTCTTCTTCTTTGTCATCTTTTTATTTGGACAACAACAGGACTGCATTATAGCCATCTGGCAAGGAGTGGGACAGACAGCGAGCTGACCACATCATTGTTTCATGATAGAAACGTTGTAAACACAGCCTAATAACAACAGCTGTGCTGTGTCATCAAACTTTAGCAACATTTTAAATGCATGATTAAGGAAAACGTTAAGAGAAGGCAGTTATCTCTTTAACCTTGCTGCCACATAAACCCCACTTAGGCTACAGACACAGGCAGTTACTCTCTGTTACACTGTGTGTCTTTCTGCCCTCTGTGGTCACCTATACTGTGTTTTAGTGCACCCAATTTCATAAGATAGTCGCTCTCATTTACGCATATAAAAAGAGTGACTTTGTAGCGGTGTGGTGATAAAATCATTTGATAAATGATTGCGATGTCAGTCTGACTCAGACCATTGTTTCAGAGGCTATTTTGGAAAGAGAAAAAGTTGTTTTAGTCTGGAAAGGGGCTGAAATTGAGAGAAGAAAATAGATTTACAGCTTAATGTGGATGTACTCTTGGTCTTGTTTGTACATGAATATTCCTTTTCAGGGTGCCAGGAGGAGCTGAAACTAAACATACATTATGGCAGAATTGGCAAAAGACAGACTCTTGCGTTCTTGCTCGGTGTTTAATGAGAGGAAAGATACAGCTCTCAAATCTGTATGGTAAAGCTGCAGCTGGTTAGCTTACCTTAACACCAATATGCTTCACTTTTTTTTTCCTTTTTTTTTTTTTTATTGTGCGTGCTTCCAGCTTGTTTGTGATCCACACCAGAAGAATAATGCAAATCCTGTCTATTTATTGATACAGTGAAGGAAGGGGTTTGAATAAACAAGGCTTGTGAAGTGCAAGTAAGTAAACAAATTACTCTCATCCAGATTATGTTGACACCCAATACTTTTTGCATTTTTGTGCTGACATAATGTTAAGGGCTTCACACGTAACAGTCCACAAGCAACAGTGGCTCGTTTGTGTTTTTAAGTTTCCAGGTAAATGATCTCAGTGGATTTTCCAGGGGAGGGATGAATGAGATGGACTGAATGAGATGAAATTGATGTCTGAAAAATGTGTTGATGCTGCCCCCTGGTGAAATCCTGAGAGTCAAAACTGCCAGTATGTTTCCTGATATAATTTAACACAGTTTTGATTATCTCTGACTGAAAACAGTTTGTACTTTTTTTGTAATGTTTGTCATTAAGATGCCAAGATCTGATTGATAAATAAAATTCAACGTTAAAACATGAGAAACCTAAACAAATAGCACTATAGGTAAAAAGCAGTGCAACTGACCATAAATTGGCGGATGACAAAGCCTTTAGAGGAACAACTTGAGCTCCTCTGTGGTTGTTAACAGGTTGATAATGTCATTACAGCCAGCCTGCTAGCCTGCTAAGGCAATTACCACCCCACCAGCAGCACTAAACACATTTAAGACCTGATTGCAGTCTGGATAGGCCTGGTTTGATTCATTGATGGAGTTTTTATTGACAGTTTGGAGTTAACTCAGTGTATTGAACCATGTGCTCAGCCTGGTGATGTCATTGTTATCCTCATTGATGCCTGCTTGGCCATTAGTTTGTTAACATTGCATCATGTGGGCAGGTGAGAAAACAAGTTTCTATCCCCATTAAATAATCATTTGCTTAGTTTCTCATGTTAAAGTATTGTGCAAATTAGACAGCCATTAAGTTAGTGATGCTTGTGTATTAGGAGATTTGTGTAATGCTCTTAGCTCTGCGGCGATTCATCAATAAGTAAATTGGTGTGGCCTGCTGTGAGATCAAAGATAATTAAAGGAGTTTCTTAGCTCTTCACTGCAGGCTCTTGTTGTTGTTGTTTTCAGGAATAGTTTTCTTGGTGGTTTGTTGCACAATGCTTTGGGGATAGAGCCAAGGGCTCAGTGCTGTATGGCAGATGAATATTTGATGGCCCTTAATGGA